AGTGGTTTAAAGCACTGAGCTGCTGAGCTTGTTGATCGAAAGGTCGCAGGTTCGATTCCGGGGAGCGGCGTGAGCTTCCGCTGTCAGCCCTAGCTTCTGCCAACCTAGCAGTTCGAAAACATGCAAATGTGAGTAGATCAATAGGTACCGCTCCGGTGGGAAGGTAACGGCGCTCCATGAAGTCATGCTGGCCACATGACCTTGGAGGTGTCTACGGACAACGCTGGCTCTTCGGCTTAGAAATGGAGATGAGCACCACACCCCGGAGTCAGACATGACTGGACTTAATGTCAGGGGACAACCTTTACCTTTACCTTTGTTTGTTTATTTATTTATTATATGTGTATATATGTTTGTGTGTATATATTTGTGTATATTTGTAAATATGTGTGCTTGTGTGTTTGTGGTTTTGCACATGCATTGTAATGTATTTTTTTGGCTTTTTAAGTCCCTTCTGTAGTGTTTTTCAGTGGTTTTATGAGTGACGATCACTCGTTGTCCTGATAGGTGTATTGTGTCCAAATTTTGTGCCAATTTGTCCAGTGGTTTTGAGTTATGTTAATCCCACATCCATTTTTATTTATATGAATGAATCATCTTAGCTGATTTTGCTATACTTCACAGTACCGTTGGGATACCGATCTACCATAATTTTCTGTCACAGCATATGTTTCTTTTAAAAACCAATCCTAGAGGGTAGCGGGTCTGTGCTGAATGCCAAAGCCTAAGTGCCAGTGCTTGGAAATTAGCTGTCAAGAAAAGCAGCAAAAATCTTGGCACACAGTAGCATGTTTGCGTACCCCACCCAAGGCTGCCCTGCCACCGGGAATGCCACGTTTCAGTTCCTGAAAGCCGAGAGGAGGCTTTCCTTTCAGCAGGTGTCCTTCCCACCCCCTAACAATCACGGACTGGAGCACACATCCAGCCTAGCAGCAAGTCCTGGGCCCCTGCCAGGAGCGCCAGGCCTCCAGCTTCCTGAAACCAGAGGTAAGGTTGCCAACGGGTCGGAAAAGTCTGGGCCCACACTGTCCTTGTGCTTTTTGCAGCAGGCTCAGCTGCCAAAACCAGTGGGGTTGTTTTTTCTCAGTAATCTATACAAATAAAAATGTAATGTTCGTTTGTGGGATTACCATAACTTAAAAACCACTGGGCGAATTGACCTCAAATTTGGACACAATACACCTATTAGGCCAACGAGTGAACATCACTCATAAAAACAAAAAAAAACAAAGAGGGGAAAGGACTTAACCCCCACCTCCCCAAAACCAAAATGCATGGGAAAAAATGACTCCAGGGCCCAGCCCCGCTCCATTTCTACTTGAGCCAAGTGTGAACATTGCAGTTGTCCACCTGGACTACCTTTGAATAGCCTAGCGTGGCTTCTACAAGCCAGCAGGAAACCTTTGGTGGGAGGAGTTCCCTAGTCCAGATTGTCTCATGTCTGGAAATCTTCTCTTTTCTGAGGGCCACAAACACATGGCGGGTACAGCTAGTCTATATAAATAAAAATGTAATGTTCGTTTGTGGGATTAACAGAACTCAAAAACCACTGGACGAATTGACACCAAATTTGGACACAAGACACCTAACAACCCAATGTATGTCCTTCACTCAAAAAAATGATTTTGTGATTTGGGAGTTGTAGTTGCTGGGATTTATAGTTCACCTACAATCAAAGAGCATTCTGAACCCCACCAACGATGGAATTGAACCAAACTTGGCACACAGTTCTCCCATGACCAACAGAAAATACTGGAAGGGTTTGGTGGGCAGTGTCCTTTGGTTTTGGAGTTGTAGTTCACCTACATCCAGAGAGCACTGTGGACTCAAACAATGATGGATCTGGACCAAACTCTACATGAATACTCAATATGCCCAAATGTGAACACTGGTGGAGTTTGGGG